ACTTGATCCACTACCCACACTTTTTCTGTTGAATGTATGTATACACATTTTCTTGCATATGGGACCTTTCCACTCTTAAAATAATATATCAGTGTTACAGTGGAAGCAGTAATGATCTATGACAACACGTCAGAGGATTTTCCATGCACTCTCACTAGGATACATTGTGAAACTAGTAAAACCCAATTTCATGGTAGTGGTACCCAGATTATTTAATTTTCTTTAATAAATTCTACAAAGTTAATGTATATAAACTCTAAGATGAATATTTTCAATTGACCTTAATACATCTAAGAGGGTTAGTAATACATCTAAACTTAGACAGGAATGAAATAGTAATATATCATTAGTATATAATTGACAACTTTTAGTTAATCATATTGGTAGTTTATGTCGTATGTTAAGTCAGTATACATTGGAACTTTTCATACTCATAATAACACATCTTTTCTTAAAAGGTCATGTTTTTAGTTATTTTGCATCATTCGCTGATTTTTCCACTTGCTTAGCTGACCTTTTTAAGAATTTGATGTGTCATCTTTTGACTTGATTTTTTACATAATACTTTATAAATTACGATGAATGGTGTTTTTAAGTCAGGGGAACAGACATACTGAAAGTAATGTCAAATGCACTTCACATTTACTCAGACTTTAGGCTTAATTGTTCTATCTCCCTGTTTGTTCATTTTCAGTTTTTCATAAAATCATATATAAAAAGGTCAATGTTTATCTCAATAGTAGACACCCCCTGCTATATGCAATGAGCAAAATGTATCTGTAGTGAACTTGCTTCAGTCTTAAACATACAGAAAAGATATCAAATGACCAGCCAAAATGCTGCTTTATAGCTGCATCTTCATTTTTCATAAACCTTCACAAAATCTGAATATATTTACCTTGATCTAGAATTCTGTGTAAGCATTGTTTGAAAAAAACACATTCGCAGGAAGAAATGCATGATTAAAACCGATTTGATTTTGACAAAAAAGGTATGCCAACACACATGATGTATAAAGAAATGCTTATACAAGACCTGTGACTGAAACCATATTGTTTTTGAAAATAAATAAAATTATGCATTTTTCACGTGGAAAATTTGCATTATGTATGGCCAAATTCTAAGAATGTGGAAATCACCTTTAACAGTCATTGCAAGACACTGTTTTTAAATAAATGTGTGACATTCATTCTTGGACAACAGTCCTTGAAATGAATGTGCTAATGAGAATTCTCAAAAAGGTCTGCAATTGTGATAATTGTTATGATCAAAAACATATTACAATCAGCTTAAAACGTGGCTGTCAACGTTTCTTGGCGCCATAAAAGACTAGAACACGTGTACGAGTCCATGTGAGGTGGTGTTCACTTTTCAGCCATAAGGGTGAATATGCACCAGGAATGTGGTCCAAGAAAGCAGTGCAAAAGTGACCCTCAAAACATGGTGAATCCATACTGTTGTGTGATAGGCTACAAAAACAACCAAAAACAAAATCACACATTATACTAGCTGGGTTGATCCAACTCTATGGGGATTCTTGCTAAAATGCAATCTGTGGAATCAGCTTAATTGTCTGACAAGCCTCCTAGAGCAGCTAGTGGATAATTAGCTATTGTGTGCTGATGAAGCTGATTCCACTGATTGTACTTTAGTAAGAATCCTCCACATAATTGGACCAACCCAGCCAGTACAATGTGTGAATTTGAACGTGTCCTTTGACTCAACTTTCATCCTGTTTAACAGCAGGCCTGTAGCCAGGGAGAGTTGGGAGGGGGGGGGGGGGGTTTCGAAT